CCCTCTCCGCCCCCTCCCCCTCTCTCCCTCCCTCCCTCGACCCGCCTCCCCCCTCAACGGCGACATGCCATCAGGGAGGAATTCCAGCATCCATAACAAGACAAACATTTATCAGGGAATCACACCGAAGGCGTATCGCGTGGGCACTCGGCCAGTGGTGGGCGAGAAAATTATGTCTTCTGGTTATACACCACTAATCCCTAACACATTTCATTCTTTTGGCACCATGTGGTAGAAAGGGGGGAAGGGGATATCTTAAAGAAATACACAATTAATCACCAAAATATTTCATCCTCTTCGCGCAATGTAGTGGGCGCAGGGGGGAGGGGGGGGGGTGGAATATGTCTTAACGTCATACATGACTAGATATTTTCCAACCCGTCTTCCCACGAACATAATATGAAGTTGTCAAGATCATGTTTTATTAATCCTACCACGACTTATAGCCTATTTCAAACAATTCCATGATGGACTAGGCTTTTTCTGAGCTTGATTTGCTCAGTTATACAGTCTGTTAATGACTTTGTTAGTTTTTCACTTGATAGATTCCATAAGGATAATCTGCAGGTACTGTTGTAAGTTAAGAGACAGCACTCTGTTGTTTTTTTAAATTTTAGAATGGACTTATCCTATTTTTTCGCTTGACCCTTTCATTTACATAGGCCTACTGTTACGGCGTCCTCTACCAGAGATCGACATTCCACCCTGTCTTTTGTCCGTTTCTCGAGGAGACACCAGGCCCATACTTTTCGTCTTCATCTCGATCGGTCTCACCATTTCCTTTGAGTCCTCCTCTTCCTCTCCTTTCCGTTTGGACTCAAACTGTCCCCGGGGTTTTATGCACCCCGCATAATTTAGCAAAATTTGATAATTTTTTGCATAATTTCTGATAATTTTCTTTTATCATTTTTTGTTAAATTAACAGACTCGCATAATTTCACATTTTTGGGCTCAGTACACATAATTTCATAATTATTTTTTTTCATAAAACCGCGGGGACAGGTCAACAGAGGGTAACTGCTTTGACTTCGACCCTGCCTGTCAGGGCCAACCCAAACCGAACCCATGTCTTCTGAGTGCAACAACCAAGAGTCTAACCGTCACATCACAGAAGCAGATCCTGATGTTGCTGACGACGATGGTGATAATAATAATAATAATACG